CTTGCCATTCATGTTCCAGAAAAACAGGGAGGTGCGCTCCATTCATGGTTCACTCACTTCAACATTAATACCGGTTTGCCTTTGTTCACCTCTCTAGATAAACAACAAGGCGTGGGCCAAAGCTGTCATTCACTGTGCTGTACCTCTGCCTCGAGGCCGACCTGCTCAGAGTCAACCTCACCCTCAGAACTCCGCGTGCACATGTACAGGTTTTGACTACAATTATGTGAATAAAGGTTTACCCAGTGGTCATATTTGAATCTCGGTTTGAAGTTTTATAAATGGCTGCAGGCTGTTGAATGATGACTGATTAGAAAAGCCACAGTCAATCAAAAGTCCCAGAAACAAAAATGCAAACTTAAACTAAAAACTAGCTGATTTATAAGAGGACACAAAATTAAGTTCAGCCAAAGTTTTAAATGACTAGTTCACCACTTCTTTTGCAGAGCCCTGAGGGTTAGGGTTAACACAGAGTGTGTACCCTTCTGCAGGACTGGAGCCCAATCTACGATCAAACAAACACCAGGAGTGGGATATCACAGGGAATAGAGCTCGACAAACAATACAGAGAACAATGGTCTCTGTTGGATTCCAAAGACATTTAAAGTCAAGTTTAAAGACCAATGGAAGTAGCTGTCCATATTAATAAGACCATAACCTATTAAAGACCGAGTACATAAAGTTTATAATATAATAATAAATATAAAAAGTTGTTTGTAACAGGGTTTATGGTTAAACTATAACATACCAAGCCTCAATTTCTTGCTCCCTAATATCGGTATTGACATCGGCCCACAAACATCCGTATCGGTCAGGCTCTAATTGTGAGTCTTGCATTTCTGGCTTGTGTGCGACCTGAAGAATGCTTTGGTTCACAAAGACACAAAACACACACATGCATACACGCATGCAAAGCAACAGCCGGGCATCGCTGGGAAATCTGGAGTGATGTCATGAATGATTAAGATTAGCGTGGGGTTGTGTGTCAGGGGAATGCCGCTCAACACAAAGTGGAGAGGACGGAGGCAAATCTGAAAAAAATAAACAGACACTTGGTACTAAATAGGGCAGAGACGGTAAAGTCATGATCAATTAAACCAGTCACTTTTCACAGCAGGTGAGCGTGACACCACCACTGCCGACTTGTTTCATGTTTAACGACAAGTTGAGACCAGACATGAGCAGGTTGTTATGTCGTCTGTTCCCTTCAAATTATGCAACCAGTGTGAAGAACGGAGTGTGAACCAAATATTACAGTGCCTTAATTCACAGAGCGATAGAGACAACTATATTCTGATTATGTGTGAATTACAACCCGAGCAGGGTGAAAGACACACTTCGTAATAAATCACTTTGAATTCATTCTACAACAATAGACGCAGCAAACCAATGAAAATGAGTGATTATTAGACTTTACTCAAGAATGCCATGTGGGCAGCTGCATGACCACAGGAATATCTACGACTTTCAAGCTGCTTTACGAACTTCACTTAACTCGAAACGTTTTCTTCAAATTTTCTGGAGGGGCTTAATGTGCATGTGCAATTTCAAGGTGAAGACGTGTTTTAAGGTTTGGATAAGTTTAGATTCAGGTTAAAGTTAAGGGGTTTTATCGGTTAAGTTGTATTTATGGTTATGAGGTTAGATGAAGTCGTCAGGAAATAAATGCAGTAAATGTACGTCCTCTGAAGTCATGCTGACAATACTGTGTGTGTGTTTGATCTGTCATCCATCCAGTATCCGCACTAAGCTGTTACATAACACCGCTACACCTGCATCTTAACAATTCCCATTACAATGGCAGATGTAGTGTGTGTGTGTGTGTGTGTGTGTGTGTGCTTGGCTGTGTGATTTACAATTATTCATGCAGATGATTATAAACTGGATTTATTTTGCGTTGTGTTTCGTCACATGAAAGATCATCACACACATGAACAACAGGGTCACAACAACAACGACACATGACCTCATATCGGATGTTGCACACTTTAAAAATGAAGTGACAGTTGCACATGTATGTAAACAACGCGCACACAAACACAATTCCCCAGGGAGAGGAGACGAGAGCTGAGTACGGGACAGGAGAGCGGCTCCCACACTGCTGAACATGCAGCCGATAACACCGGGGATCAGATGACAAGCTGCAGCCAACACACACAACTACACCCACTCACACACACTCATGCAGTATGCACAGACATGAATCACTTCTTTTTAACCTGTGCAGCTCTCACAGGCTGCAGGAGTCACAATTGTGTCAGTGACTTTTTCTACCTGAGCGTAAAGATCAACTTCTATTGATGTTGTCATGCTCAAGAAAACCAAACAACAACTTAACCTTGCAGCTGACACACAAACAAACGCTCACAGGTTGTGCAGCTGAGAACTTTGCATTGGCTTCCATTAATCGTGGACAGCTGAACCAAAACCTCATCCCCGACCTTAACCAACCGTGGAACCATGATTGTTGAACACCGCGTCTAAAAGTAAAATGATCTTAATGACAGGGGAGAGCAAATATGTGTCTAAAACAAGTGTCTGTCTGTGCGTCTCTAAGTCTCAGAATACTGGTTGAGCTTGATATCTGGGACCGTGTCTCTCATGTGTTCCTCGATGAGCCGTCTATGTCACAACGCTCGTAACTCACTCATCAAGACCAGAGGACAGACAGGCCTGAGATCTGTGAGGGGGGGGGGCGAGATGCAGCCGTTTCAGACCATTAAAGATAAATTCAATTCCTGACAAGACTGGTTTTCAAAGCACAGGAAACTAAACGACGTGATGTCATGTGTTGCGTCATGTCCTGAGTTTGAACTTGACCTTTGTGACCTGTCATCCTCTCCCACTCAGTCATTCACGTCTATAAAAACTTGTAGGATGAAGGTGAAGAGATGCAGGAACTCTATATTGTTACATTTACAGGGGGAATAAACACCATATAACATAACGGGGTGAAGTCAAACTGCACAGTAAAAGGCTGTTGGCTGTAGTAAAAAGTAAATTGAATCCATCTGATAATTCACGTTTCCTCCACAACAAATATTAATCTCTGGGTGGGAGTCTCTCTGTTTGAAAGGAAAAACAAAGTATGTGAGAGAGAGCGCCTCAAACAACTCTGCCCCCTGATGTGACTCCCTGCATGAGAGAAGTCCTGGAAAGAGGCAAAGTAATTTCAGGGTTTTTGTGCATCAGGGCCTCCGGCAAACAGATACAGTCCATCACTGCGGAGGTGAAGACAGGACGGCTGAGCTCATCTTCCTGCACGTCGGCAGTATTTCCTGCTTTCCCACACATAAGAAACAAGCCACTGACTCACATATATATATATATATATTTATATATATTCCACAGAGGGCAGGTGTACATACGCACATATCATAGAAAGTCGTTCTGACGTTAGTGGAGTTGTGTTCACCTCCCAGGAGGTTTTTGGGAGGGACATATACAGAAGGTGTGTGACTTACCCAACAGGAAACTACAGGTTTATTCTAGTGCTGTGGTGAACCCACCCTGTCCTGCTGTAAAACGTTACGGAAAACACAGCGGTGGGGTTATCTGTTTCTGTCTCTCTGTCCCTCACACACACACACTCGTCTCATAAACCCATTACGAAGACCATAAAAACATCAGTGGGATCCATTTACACACAGTGTTTTTACACAGGTGTTAACACAAGTCAATGACTTCGAAAGTCACCTGAGTGTCACGCTGTGGTTCACTGGTGCAGGGGGGCGGAGCACAGCAGTCAAAGTCACATGCTCTTGTTTTCACAGAATCGAAGGTTCATCGGAGTGAAACTGATGTAGAATGAAGAATGTGTCTGTTTTAAGCTCTGAACTATTTACACACATTCCTACAGTTACAAAAATAACTACAATTATTTGTTTTGTTTCACTGGTTTTACCGACGTAGAAACAATCTAAAGATCTGCAGAGTCTGTCTTTTCTTTCGCTTCTGTCCACAGAGGTGCCAAGAGGTTCAGGTTTCACTGTCTGTAAAATTAGCAAACTTCCTACCTCAGGTCCTCAAACCATAATTACAGACTGACATGTTGTGTTTGACGGCCTGAAACATGATCTGCTTTGTGATGTGGTTAGTTCGGTTTATTACACTGGACCACAGCTTTCCTCTTCAGCCATCATCAGTCAGAAAATGGGATTATTCGGGAAGTTTGATCTCGTTAGTTACAGATAAGGTTCATCCAACACGGATCCCCAAGTCCAGCAAACGTATGATTGATGTTGTTGGAGGTTTTAAAAGATTCTTCATTTTATGGTTAATGGAAACTGACGTTACAAATCCCTTGATGTCTGTAGTCACTCAGGCCAAACTGATTAACACAGCGTCCTGCGTTACCTGCTGCTTGTTGGTCTCAGTGCATTTGAGTATGCAGAATTATGTCCCATCTTCTAACATGGAGGAGGCACGGGTTATAACCGGTACCGCAGCCAGAGGATGATCAGAACACTTTGACTTCACTTTTGGAAGCCATCTTTATATTCAGGTACTAAATGTCTAAGGCATCACGCAGTGTAAAGGTAAAACAAAAGAGATACTGGGATATGAGCAGAGATAACATCTGTCTGACATGATTTAAAACCCAACACATGAGTAAAGGTAGGTGCTGGTTTGTATTGTTTCATGTAGCCTCCCCTCGATAAGAGCAATGCAAACATTAGTATGCAGCGCAGGCATTTGTGGTTCAGTGATGCATAAATCATCTCAAGTTATTTTTAAAATATAATCTAGGATAAATTAGTTTCATCCCACTGGGTGGAGACTCAAATGTAAATACCAAACTTTGCCCTTGGGCTGTGTGGGTACCGTCTAACAACCATCACTGTCGTTACTTTCAAGGAAACTTCTTTTCTTGTTGTTGAGGAGTTTAGGAGTTTACATGAAGAAGAGAGAGAGACAAGGGGGGAGTAGAGCAGCTCTCACGATGGCCGCCTGCCTCTCTGCTTGTTCTGACAGTTGGATAAAACTCATCCGACACTCACCTAATGAAAGCCATCCTGGGTGTATCTTGCTGCTTGGGTTCCGGTCCACTTTGAGAAGCTCCGGATGACGGAGGATTTGAAGCCGTGCTGGAGGACAACGGACGGAGAGTAGAGGAGCAGAGCGATGAAGGAGGAAAAGAGGAAGAGGGAAGAGGGGTCTGGTTTGACGGGTTCTTTCCATGTCGTAGGAGACGGAGGGACTTGACCCTGATGCTGTGGTGAGCGTGATGACGGGCTGCCTTGCCCACAGGTCCTGTTGCCGCTCTCTTGAAGGTTTGTTCTGCTCTGGAAACAAAACACACAGATTTATAGCCAATCACAAATAACTTTGCAAACAGTGTTTAAGCAATTCATTAATAACTCATTTACTAAAGGCTTGTATCAATTAGTGCATCACATTATTAACTGATTTATGAACTCGGTACGAAAGTAAAGAAAGCAACCGGATTTTAAAATGAACTATTTGCAGTATGATTGAAAAACCACTCCTGCTTTTCTCTTTATGTTTACTATCAGTGACAATCTGGCAAAACAACTTCACTCCATCACATGATGGTAAAAGAGCTGTGGGGATGTTGTCAAGTGGTTTACGAGAGTGTGGAGGAGAGGACACGCTCAGTTTCATGTTCTTTCACATAAAAAACACGGAAGCAATGACCTCCGCCAAGGAGGTTTGTTTGTTAGTAGGAAAAACTACTGGACGAGTGACCACAAAAGGAGCTGGAAGGATCTGGTATGAGTCGGGGAAGAACCTGTTAAAACAGATCTAGATCAGGGCACAGATAAAGGATATGAAAAAAATGTAAGTCTTTATGCTGATCCAACAAAGTAAATCTCTAGCGGGACTTTGTTCTGGAGATAGAAGTTATCAACTGTCAAACTATAAACGTGTATGTGCATATGAACCTGCTGAGGCAGGAAAGCGAGCAGGGGGTTTCTGAGAGACAGATGCCACAAAGGAGCGTAAAACATTCCTGCTATTGTTTGAACGTTCTCCTCCAGTCGCTCGCCTCGTGTTTTGTCTGCTGGTTTCTTCACAAATTCAACATGTCTGATGAATAATTCTGACAGGATTCCTCCCTGACAAAGACCGGGGCAGTTACAGTACACAGACAGACATGTCACATGGTCATGGTATAATGTCAAGTGACTGTGGTATTCAGGTGGTGTGACCCCTCAGGCTAAGTGATGTCACCAATCTCTGAACTTTGACCCTTACAAAGAGGGTCCCACTTAACCACGACTGATAAGATCTGAGTTCTCCACGTGATTCTTCTTTGAGGTTGCAGCTGTGTCGGTTCACAGACTCCGCTTCTAACCACGATATAAATACAACGCAAATAGAGAAAATTCATTTACACGCAAAATAACATCTACAGATTATGACAAATTACAAATATTAAACTCAGTGCAATCCTTTCTGTATTCATATTGATCAAACTTTTACTAAATCCACCACTACACTTCATTGGGCCCTAAAATGAAGTGTAGAGAAGAGTAATGGTTCACGAGGTATATGAGCCACATACAGACACAGATTTCTGGAATTAGTTGATAGACAGATGCTGCAAAAGGCTGAAATATCAAACATAATCAAAAAGGGATTTTTGAAGGAGCAGCGGAAGTTTATATCTCTAACGTGTTTCGTCTTCTATGTCCCTCCTTGTTCCACCTCTCACTCAACGTGTCTTGACGATTGTCATGTTTGGTTTCATTCTGTTCACATGAAACAACTTTTCAGCACCTGACAAAAAGCTTTGTCCAGTTCCCTCCTCTGCTGGTAGTTTTCCACCCAATTACAATAATCCTCCGAGTGACCCCCGATGACCCCTGATGACCCACAGCCTGGTTAAAACAACTTAAACCACTTGACACAAAGACTTAAGAGGCGAGGAATGACAAGTATGCTCGAAACAGAGGGACATACACGTGCATGCACACACACGGACGCACACACGGCTCTAACACGAGAGTGACAGCCTTTTGTTACGAGCAGTGGGCTTGTCAGAGGAAAAAAACAACATTACAATGAGAGGATTAGGAAACCATTGTGAAATTCAAAGTGCTACTGGAAAACCAGTCGGTGTTACTAGAAAGTAACGATAACTTTCAGCTGGTATATAAATCACATGGTTTTGAATAAAAGAGGTTGACGTCACACAGAGTCCAGTGTGGAATCATCTGCACTTACAACAGACATGTACAGAGGGAACATGTGAGGTGAGTGTGGAGGGCAAACAAAGGTGAAACTGTACAAACAGTAAGGAACAGGACAAGTGTTAAACAACTTGTCTTCCCCAGCCTTTGGTCGTATTTGCAAAAGATTTGAATGACAATAAATACAGAAAATATATATATATATATATATATATATATGTGTGTGTACTTAAACTCCTCCAAAACATCTGACTTCAGTCTGCAATGGGAACCTGTGTTTACTAATGACTCTTTAGTAAACACAGGTTCTTGGCACTGATGGAAACGTGACGACTGGGTGAACACACTAACTTGGCAAGACAGTGAGGTGAGATTATGCCAGAGTTTAAACTCCTCTACTGGCAAAGGAAAATGAGTCAACAGCCTTTTATCAGACTGTTTGAAAAAAATACATATACTTGCTGAATCTGGGGTAAAAGAGTTATTGTTTTTATTGGTTTTTAGTTCACACAACTTAAAATCACTGCAGGGGAAATGTTGACGGATCAACTGATGGGATATGAAGTCATGTGTTTTGTTTGTGTTCCTCAAAGACTCACAAAAGAAAAACTTATGGAGGTTGGAGATTTGAATTGAAGTGCTAACACGAGGATCTAAAAATGACATCAAAAGAGTGAAGAGTTACAGCAGGTTTCTGTATCTGGTTGTATTATGTTGTACAGGTGTTCATGTTATTGTGTCCACCCTCAGAGTGAAGTTGTGTCACGTTTGTGAGGTTTAACCTTTGTCCTCACCTGTCACTTTTCCCACCACTGGCTGTATCTGTCACCGTGACATCACCACCACTCCCCTGCACCGTCGGCTGGTGGGCTCTGCCCTCCTGCTGGCTCCGCCTCTTGGATCTGATCTGAGGATATGGGGGGGGGGGGGAGAGAGGAAAGGTGAACACTGGGGTACCACACATGCAGTGTACATCCAATCAGCTGTATAGCCACATGTCACTAGGCTGTTGCTCCTGAACCTTTTGATGGATGTGACTGTTTTACTTTATGACCCAAACTGATTTGATTTATTAATTTCTAACTGATGTAACCTGCTAACACCTCGTTCAGTCCTCCTCTACTGTCTGACGTGCTGCAGCTGCTACTGTGCTGGCAGCAACAACACAAACACCTCAGCTCAACCGTTCAGAAAACCCCTGTCACCAAATATTATGAAAACTCACCACTGTAAGAAAGGAGATAAGCTCGGCTGTGTTAAAAGTGCTTTATATCAGATGCTAGCTTAGTGAGCCTTGCTGCCCAGGCCGGTTTTAGCTGGAGGATTTGGCGTCTAAATGGAGCTGTTAAAACTCTGGTTGTCAGACACTTGGTTCTTTGTTCGAGGCTTTCACACTGCCGGCTCTCAGTGGATTCTGATTTCTTTATTGGCTAAAGACAACCTCATACTGTTTAGGAGAGAGAGCGTTTGAGAGAGTCTCCAGATGGCAAGCAGGCAGTGCAGACCAATGATCCCTGGGATTGCAGTTCAGCTGAAAGGACACAGCGTAAACAATTCCTCACTGCATAACGTGCATTGTTTGGTTATGAATCAGAGTGAAGGGCATTTTTTTCAATGCAACAACCACAAACACCAGCACAAAGTGTTTCAGCTCAAGGACACAGACAGTTTCCAAGTGCACCTTCTATTTTTGTTGTGCTCAGTGTTGCTAACATGAGTGTAATTTATTACTCTGGTGCACAATAGAATGACTTATTTTAGAGAATGTGCTACAGTATACAGGTCTCAAGCAATGATTATCGCTGTACAAACAAGTGGAGATTTACCTGAGCTTTAACTGAGATTTACCTGAGCTTTTGTTAGAGAAGCTGCGGTCCGGCTCCTGAAAACCCGTCCAGGTGCAGGACTACGCTGTCTGGGCTTCACTTGTGCTTGTGAACTCTTCTCTTCAGTCCGCTGTCGGCCCATCGGGTCGATCAGGTACCGCTGGGCCAGACGCATCACGCGGGTCAGGACACTCTTAGCTCTGGTAACTGAGTCTGTGGACACAAAAAACAATGATTCAACATCTACTTTTGTGTTTCAAAGCCCTGTCATATAGAGAATGTTATTTCAGGCAGTATAAATACTCCGACTTATTATAATCACATCCTCGTTTTATGGGCATCCACTGCTGAGCACCACTCAATTACAAACTCCTGTGGACAATCCTGTGATACTGTTGAGCGTGTTGCAGTAATAAAATAAGTTATCATTCTATTACAGGCATACCCCGACTGAAACGCTCTATGTGGTTGTGTACGTGTGTTTTGGTGCATGAATGTGTCCTTGTTACGCACAAATGAATGTTATCAGTGGCTCACCATGTTTACACAGGGGGCCGAATCTGCCTGCTTAGGCAAGCTGTGAACACAAAGACCCACTTATACAATGTACTGTCTGTGTTTGTGTTCGAGCACGCTCATGCATATACAGACAGACACAGAAATGTATAACACAATGTGTATAACACAAGGAGTGCGTGAGATTTTAACAGTGATTTACTAAACATGGTGTATTGGAATGAGAAGCATATGTGCGTCAACATCCTGATAACAGGAAGGGAAACCTAACTTCAGCATTGCTTCAGCAACGGACAGCGTCATTATAGAAGTACACACATATTCTACGAAGAATACTTACAAGTAACGTGGACAGCTTACTGCATTTGTCAAAAATACCACTAGCATATATTATAATACAATAATCTGTTGTTTGGCAACTGAAAACTCAGGATATAACAACAACTTAGGCTGCTAAAGAGATTAAGATTCTTCAGCCATGCAAGCAGCTCTGTAAAGATTTACTGAAGCACAGTCAGAGGAGGATTACCAAAACCATTAATGTATGTACACAGTTTTAATGTGAACAATAACTTCTGGGTAAGATTTATCTTCTAAAGCACAAAGGCAATCCATCTACTAGTTATCATCTTTATGGACACCATACATAATTGTGCAAAAGTTCTCAACAGTGCATCAAACCAGAGCCTGTTGCTAACATGGCTAAAAACATATTATGACATTGATGTTGTATTTTCCGTTTCACAAAGTCTAAGAAAACTTTACTGACTTACCTTTAAAATAGATAAAAGTAAGAGTAGAGAACTAAGTGTTTAAGTTAGCTGATCAAAACCAGTTTAGCTAAGATATGATCAAGGAATTTTATTGAAACTTCATTACAACTTCAGTCCACTGTGAGACAGGCTTCTGCATGTCAACGTTGTGTACGTGGCTCTGTCCTACACTGAACCCTCTGAATCGTGATTCAGTACAACTGGCGGCTTTCTTCCTGTATTAGAGTCCATTCACGAGCTGAGATATATGGATGTGATAGGTCTCGACCTGTTGTGTAGACTAATGATGTAATCGCACACATGAAAAACACAACGGGACACTTGTTAGAATCACAAACACGCAGGACACACCCTCACCCTTCCCAGTGGTTTTTCCTCCTTCTGACAACGCTGGTGCATTTTCTTCATCTTCTCTGATTTGGATCGACGTTGAGGCCGTCTGCTTCTCGCACATATCTGAAAAAACAATAACATCCAAATTCAATACACGATATTTTGGTTCACATTATCATACACTTATACCGATGCACTTAGAATTGCCTTATGGACTTTTCATGTCATTGTATTTAGAATCGCAATTGTCGCATATACCTGAACAACATATCAAGTTAATTTCTTTTCTAATAGAACAATTTCAAATTTTTTGAAAATATCGGTTAGTGGCTACACGATTTTTGCTGACGCACAACAGTAAACTGTGGTCACCTCCTCCTGTCTCAGTGGAATATGTTTCATGTCATGTACAGTATGCCATAAAAAAAACACTTCCACATTTCCTTCACTTTCTGGACCCGCAGCTCAACTTCACATCTATCCATTCAGTATGGAGCTGGAGCCAGCAGTTGGTTAGCTTAGCACAAACATTGGACACAGGCGGTAATAGCTTAACTAGGTTTGTCGAAAGTTAACAACAATCCACTCAACAACAGATCTTAGCAGACAAACAATTCCTCGTTCTTACACACGATAATGACTCTAAACAACAAAGAAATGGGTTTTGACAGGTTCAGTTGTTTTTTGAGTTACCGTTCATGATGTCTTTAGGCTTAAGCAAGTCACTGGACAGATCAATAGTAGAATCAATTATTTTGGAAAAATCTCGATTCTCCATCAGTGTTTGATCTACAGGTCTAGTTCACCCCTGTGGCTGAGTGTGGTTGTGTGGGTTTGGTCATGTCAGAGGGCAGGGGTGATGTTGGCTTGTCATTTTTTCAGTGTCTATCAGTATTTAACATGAGCTCTGAGGATAAGGCTTCCCCCACCAAACAGGAAGAGGCAGTGATAAAGTGCGAGGTCTTTGTAGAGTCCTGAGTGGGGTTATCTTTGATGTTAAAACAACTCCATCTCCCAGACACACCCTCCCCCCCTCACTTAGCCCATGGCTTCTTTCCTCCCTGCGATCTGTCTCAATCACTGTCAGACATCGGTTAAGGAGAGGTTCCCCTCCACAGCCACATGCCAACATCAAAACACTGACATGTCACAGCTCGTCTCCTGTTAGCCACCCAACGACTGACTGGAGAGAAACATATGGCATTAGCGTATTCACTCAACTACAAATAAAGGAGGGGAATTAATGTTTGTCCGTATGTATAAGTACAAAATTAATCCTTCAGCAAATCCACTTTACAGACTGGTGAAGGCCACAGAATTAAACTTTTATCACTCGCATATTATCGGTAAGTTTGTTGTGTTTGTATTCTGAGGTTTAAGTGGCGGAAGGTAAAAGTCTCTATATTGAGTATATGAACAGCCATAGTAAGTATTGTTATACCTACATCAGAGTACGTGTTGTTAAAAAAGAAGACATAAACTAATGAGAGTACACTGAGAATCTGTTTTCACGGAGACAACATAGTCAAATATATACCCACACAAACAGACAGGAGCCTCGACACTGCTGAGCTCACCTGTTCAGTTTCTGTATGACTCACAGTCGTAATGAGAAGGTCTGAATGTTTGTGTGTGTGATTTATTGCTGAAACTAGGCCTCGTGCAGGTTCAGTGTTTCTGCTCTGTCTGGAGCTGCAAACCAGCATTTTCATTCTTACACCGTCTGAGTGCTTCTTTTTTTTTTAAACGCTGAATGTCATAATATGAACAACAAGTCAGGTGTCTGATATCCGATTGTCGTCCATTTATTTGTTTGTCAGCAGGATTACTCAAAAAAACTACCTGATGGATTTCCACACAACTTCGAGGGATGGGACATGGGCCAGGAAAGAATGGATCTAGTGGATTTAACTGGGTTTCATAAGGGGACCATTGGTTCTTGGAGTTCCATTCTAGCTATGTATGAACTCATAAATGTACATATCCAGTGTATTTCTAATATTGACTGACTCCTTTCAACGTACCTACAAAAAACGCAAATGTGGTAGAAAGGGGCTCTAGTCTCAGTCCTATCAAATATCTGTGATGGCACTGAGTGAGTGAGTGGAACCGCAGTAGAGACCACAACAAAGAAGAGAACCTATGAAACAGCGGCAGCAAATTTTGTGTCACTAACGAGTTTGAAGGACGGTTGGCTTTTAAACCGCCAAAGTCATTTAGATAAAGAGGAGATGAGAAAACTCCCAGAGGAGACAGAAATAAAAAGCCACTACAGTTTGTGCACTACTTCACTTTTGACTTGCTTTTCAATAAACTCCTTTACTTGAATAAAACAAGTTATTTAAACACATTGTGTGCTTGTCTAGACTTCAGATCAAGTTTAATGACAAATTAGTCCAGAGGTTATTCCAAAGGGTTCGTATACTTTTTCTTGCCAGTACTTAATCAATTTAGAGTTGTTCGTTCTTCTCAGCCCAGTGGCTTTTCTCAGTGTGGCAGAACAAGCTGTGCTACAACAAGCTGCTGTTTGTTTGGAGTCGCCAGGTAAAGGCCAGGCTGCTAATGTTACAACGGAGCAATTAAAGCTGGATCCAAGATAAATTTGATTCTGAGCCAGTTTCAGTTGAATACAAATGAGTTTGATCTGATTAGACATAACCAGTTATATTAGGTCGTTAAAGATGTTTGCGTTCATATTGAAAAAGTCATCAAATATCACAGAGAATCTCAGCCACATTCCGAACGCCTCTCCAGGTCATTCCACGGCTTTGCTTTCAGGTTAGGGTTTGGGTTCTGACTGGGCTATGACAAAAGGGGGAATTTCCTCGTGTGAAGTTATTCTGTAAAAGATCTACTTGGATGTTTAGGGTCATTGTCCTGCTGCATCAAGCAGTTTTTACTGAGTAGACAGCCACTCGGACATTATCGTGTAAGAGATACGTTAAGAAACGTGGGAATTTATTTCCCCCTGCAGCGCTGGTGAGCTGGTCAGACCCAGAGGCAGCAGAGAATCTCCACATCATGAGCCCTCAACCTCCGGGCTGATGTTTTCATGTTGTTATGCATCCACCTGCATCCGAAATTATTCGACAATTACAAATCAATTAGTTTTGAATCCTATGGTTTCACACTGTGAATGTGGGCAAGATAAGAACAACACAATGATTTGTGTGTTTGTAATTAAAAGAGGTGTGTTGTTGAATAAAATGGGTTGTGTCAGTTCCTAACTGTTACTTAGATAAGGATCTGAGTTCTGATCACTTCTCTGGGATCAGTAACGAGAGACATTTCACAGGCGTAACGCTGACAGCTGTCAGACAGTCCAATACTTCTACCACTTTAAACAGCTGATGCCAAAATAGAGGTTTAGACTAATGACACTTGCCAAATAACACACATGCGGTGTAGATACACACACCCTGTTCTCTTACAATACACTAATGACTGTGGATGAGATTTTAAATCCTAGAGTACATAAAAGTGAAATATAAGAGCTTAAGCTTTAAACAGATGTATTGTAAGGTTTAGTCTAAATGGTCCAGTAGGATTTTTTTTGGTCAACATGGCAAAACTAAAATAGACTTTGGTGATTTACTGACTCAGGGTAAAGAACTAGGGGGGTTTCACATCTTCGTTGTTTGGTCCGGGACCTTCAGACTTTTCAGTTTAGTCCCAACCAAACAGAGGACTTCTTTTTCTGACCAAGTCCAGGAAGTTGAAACAGCATGAGAAAACAAAGAAGAAGAAAAAGAAGCGCAAGCAGGTTGCACGATCGATTTCACACTTCACTTCTGATATGTTTGATTGTCGACGACGTTTATTTGAAAATTAACTGGCTCATTAATTTTCTCCATTCAACCAGTCAATGGAAAGCACAGGTAGACGCAGCCCACAAAGGGGATGACGACAGGACAAAATGTTTTAGTGCGCTCCCTAAATTAAACTAACCAGATCAAATGAAACAATGGAACATGAAGCTTGGTTCAGACTTTTTGAAGCTGCCCTTCAATTACAAAATCTGACCTGACACCAGCTCATCAATACACTGAGATCAACTGCAAACATGCCAACACGAGCACAAGGTCTAACTTGTGCTCCCTAAATACTATTTCACTCCATAATACATACTGCACACCTAGTACAGTTGAGACTAGCGTCTGTAATTTCAGGTTTAACTGTCGACCTCAAGTTCTGCTGTAAGTCACAACCAGCATCCGGACACACAAGTATAGGAAAACAAATGACATCACACAAACTGCTGGGGTTAAAAAAGACATCAAATTAAAACATATGGTAAAATCACAACTCGCAACACAAACGGTAGAGAATGTTCGTGTTGGTGAGCTCAGCTCCGGGGTTTCTCTATGACTCAGGGATATAATGAGAAGGTATGAATGACAGTGTGCATTTTACTGCCCACTCTCTCTCTCTCTCTCCCTCTTTCCCTGTCTCTCTCTCTCTCCATCTCTCCCTCTGCCAGTTTCAGATGACAGAGTACTCTGCTGATTCCTCACTGTCCAGGAATTAATGCTGATGACACGCAGCCTTTTGAAGGTTGTGTTTAGGTGTATTTGAAGCGTCTGCTGTCCTCTGGGAGTTGGCGAGGCAGCACACCTGTAGCTGGGATTGAATGGGCTCTTATGCAAGGCTGGGCTCAGCAGCTCCTGTAGCCTGGGAGCTCACTGACGCTGCTCGCTGGCAGCTTTGAACTGCTGATTATTTACAGACGGGGGTAAGACTAAGAATTGGACACCAAAACTCTCTTGAGGGAAGGAATACAGAAGCAGAAGATAAATATGGAGACAAATTGAAAGATTCTACTTCTGTATAAGCTGGACACCTAACGGAGAAAATAAAACACGGGATACATTTACAAGAAATGCATTTGTAACTTAAATGTGACACCTGAAAATGAGACACGCTCTACACCCCCAAAGGAACTGTTGGACAGTTTATACAGAATGGAAACGAAATCTGAGCTGAATACAAAAGACGAGCCAGAGGAAGTTTATAGGAGCAAGGAGAGAAGATGTTCGGCTGCAGTTCTTGAAATGGGAAAACCGTGCGTAACATAAAGACCTGAGGGCAAACCACAATTTGGGCTGATGTCTCTATTAAGCATT